TTGGCACTGAAATATTGAGACGGCTCGGCGCAGATGTAGCTGTGCGTGCGCGTGTGTGTGCGCGTGATGGGCTAAATGAAAAGAGATGTGAATCTGAGTGATGTCCTCCTTTTTCTGAATCCTCATTTCCTCTTCAGATATCTCAACCCTGACCCCTCCCCGCGCCTTCTCTTCTCCACATCAACCCACTCTGCAGCGTCTCATCCCTCCCTATACCTCGGTCCTTTCCCTCTCATCGATCTGTATTAGAAACAGGATATGAGGAACTATGCTATCTTATCGCAGATCACAGAGTGAGAGGGAACGAGTGAGGGAAAAAGACGGAAGGAGAGGGACTGAAAGAAAATGGGAGACAGAGAAACAGGGCCGCAATTTTCTTTCTCTTTGCATTCATCCATCTCCGGTTTCCAACACAGGACCAGCGGAGCACCATGGGCCTAATTGGACTAACGATTGGGCCCAGATAAGACCCGCGCTAATGAATAAATGAATGAGGAAATAATGAATGAAATGAGCCCGTGCAGGCTAATGCATGCATACGAAACAATCAGACACAACCGCAGTTGGAAGTACTCAGATCCTTTACTTAAGTAAAAGTAGAAATACTATTGTTTTAAAATACTCAATTACAAGTGAAAGTCGATCTAAAAAATGCTACTTAAGAAGAACTAGAGAACTAATATCGGCAAAGTGTACTAAGGTGTAATTTTGACAAAGTAAAATGTCTCTTTTCACGGTATTCTACTGTTCATTTATTATAGTTCTGTTTGTATCACCTGTAAATACATTTTCATCAGAACTGCACGAAATCGAAGATTATCTTGACTGATATTGCAACATGATCCACGATATTGGAGGGATTGAAGATTTTTTTTATTCATTTACTTTGCTGTGAATTTTTTCTAGAGCATTTGTACCAACCAAATGATGTTTTATTCAGTCAGCAAAATATTATTTGTAGGCCGGGATAGATCTATAACATTTCATACAAAATGATACTTTAACACATGTTTTGCCTTTAACAACGTTTTTGCTTCCAGCTATTTGAATATTGCACTTGTCCATATTTCGATTTTGATAAAATGTTGATAAATTGTACAGCCTGGTCCGACAGATCTTAAATAATGGGTAGATTAGTAGTACAGTATTGTATCCTATCACATATCATGTGTTTTACAGTATATGTACAAAGTAACTATGAGTCTTAAATAAACGTAGTAAAGAAACAAGTGCAATATTTGCCTCCCAAAAGTAGTTGATTAGATGTATCATACAATTAAAATGGCCAAATATGCTAAAAGCCTATAATACTTTGTTGCATTCCACCACTAGCATCGACGTCAGTGAGGCTGCTGAATCTGGATCCATTCACATAAATCCTCTAAAGCACATTCAGAAACTCCAACGACACACCAACAGAAAGTCAAAGGGTGAACACTGATGTCCCGTCTGAACAAGTGTACACCCTGCCTTGCATCACCTGGCCGGGGAAAATGACCCATTTATCCCTTCGGTGCAGATGGTTTAGCACCTTGTGCCTGGTTCCCTGCCCTTTCCCCGGCCCTGCAGCATGCGGTAAGATCCTCACCTCTGAGGGTCCGACAGGCCCTGCTGCTACATACACACGCTCCCCGTCTGATCCTCGTGCCCAGGTCCCTGCATTCACCATATGCCCCTCACCTCATCAACCCCCCCACACTGGCATGAGCGACACATCCTGACCTCTAGCTGTTCCACCTTTGGATCAGCAGACGGAAAGCCACATGCAGAGGGAGAGGGGACTCAGGGGTCAAGGAGCTAGTAGCTACTTTGTGAGACCTTCACATAGTCAAGGGTTCACTTTGTTGTTATTTCAAAAGATGTGATAACAAAAATAGGAAATATATTTTTTTAACAAAAGAAACTTGAAAACGTGATCCCCCCCCTCAATTATTTATAAGCAGAAGCATGAACCAAGGATAGCAAGATTAATCTGAGTCCATTGAGGATTATTACAATTGGAAAATACATATTTCTGCTTTAAAGTATATGACTTTCGTAATTTTATGGTTTCATCTTTAATAAAAGTGAAGCAATAAGAATGGGTTTCAGTTCTTTAGAAATACTAAAGTGAAACAATCCAAAAAGGAACATCGCTCATCAAATGTAATAAGAAAATCTGTTAAAAATTCATTCAAAGAATAATGTTAAAAAACTTTTGACACATAATTAGCAAAGTGTTAAGACTTTCTCTCGATGATTCTCTTCATGTTCTTTTTCAGGAAGCATGTACTCAGGCAGAGGGAGACTCCCCATGGGGTCGCCAAGATAAATCTGACAAGTTGTGAGATGATTCAATATGTAAGAGAGAAGATAGAAAGGTCACATTTATCTTAAAAACATATGAATCTTAGATTTGTTTCAGAACATTTCACCTCTCAGGCTTCTAGAGAAAACGCCTCAATTTAAAGGAATATCACATATTTAACATGTGAGCAGTGTTACTTTTTGCTTTAAAGGGCCAAACATTTCTAAATTAGTTTCAAAAGTAAACAAAATACAAATGATGAAACTTTGACACTTCAGCAGTGTTTTACATATTTCTTTTCTTTTTCCAGAGGCATGTACTAAGGCAGTGGGTTCAGACTCCCTATGGTGTCACAAAGAATCTGACAGGTTGTGAGATGATTAAAAAGGTAGAAAAAAGTCGTATTTCTGCCTCAAAAAGAGTACGATTTCCTGAGCGGAGCTACTTTATGTTCTATTAATGCGAAATAAAGAACAGATTCAACTTTAGAGACTATTCAAATAAAGGGAACATTACACTTTTGAATAGCCTCTGATCATAAGTTGCTAGACATCATTACACCAAAAGGAGATTCAAAAATGATTACAATTTTGAAACTCTGGCAACTAATTTGCATATTCTAATAATAATAATGATAATAATGGGTTTCATTTATAACGCACTTCATATTTGAATTCAAATCCCGAAGTGCTAAGTGCTTCTCCCACTTTGTCTTTTTATTTTTTTTTAACTCAAAGCCTAAATCTGGACAGTGGCTCCATAATCCATGTTGGGTCCCATAAGAAGTTGCATTGAGGGTTATTGGTTGATCAATAACATAGGGATTAGGACTAAAAATCATATTTCTGCCTCAAAATCCCATGAATTGTCTCTGCCTATATATATTCTTCCTTGTAAAATGAATTTTCTCACTAAAAGCTGTTGAAATCCAAATTGTTAACAGGAAGCACTGATCTGCTTCAAAGGGTCAAAATGAGTTTGGCACCACTTCATTAAGCAATGCAGCAAGAAGACACTATTTGTTGTACAATGTGATAATCAGTGTCTTTCTGTGTCAAAAAACGATTTAATTTGGAGGCATGGCGACATAAAATCTGTTGGGAAATAGCTTGGTCCTGTTTTTATAATCAACTTGATATGATCAGTGTCTCAGGTGTTTTAAAAATGGCTCCCCTTTTTGATTGTTACAGCCCAGGGCTTTTCATATAAAGATGTGTTGTTCCAATTTTGATGCCTGGCAAAACTCCATGTTGAGATGTTGAGTCTGTGATGAAGCCAGTGTTGAAAATTAGCGGCAAATCAACATTTTTTGTTACTATTTACATTTTTCATGCACCTGTGTACATAACATAACAGAAATGGCGTTAACAAATGTGTTATATAAAAATAAATCTCTCCTGAAATTCCACCATCTTTAAGCCAGCTTTTAAATGGTTACTTTGGCAGTGCAGCAACCCTAAATCCAGATTGATGACAGAAATATGCAAATCATTACCCAAAATGCAACCCCCTTCTGTTGGAGTAATGCCTCGTATATGCTGGCCGAGCTATGTGTCTTTGCACGGTCATTAACATGTTATTATGTAAGGCAGCAGTGATATGAATGCACTCAAGTGAGACACTCATACGAGGGAAGTATGGCCAGTAAGCGATTGTGATCAGTCTGGGTACAGAGAGACAGCCATGATGGATGGAAAGTGGCCGGCTTAGAGGCATGAAGGTCACACTCGATGACAGTGTGTGTGTGTGTGTGTGTGTGTGTGTGTGTGTGTGTGTGTGTGTGTGTGTGTGTGTGTGTGTGCAAGTGCATGTGTGCTCTCATTCATCAGTGGTGACAATACCATGTGGAGTATGCCAAATTCAGCCATCACACACACACACACACACACACACACACACACACACACACACACACACACACACACACACACACACACACACACACACACACACACACACACACCCGTGAAAAGGTGACACTGGCGCCCGCGAGCCACTTTACTCATTGCATTCAAGGACACACCTGTGTGTGTGTGTGTGTGTGTGTGTGTGTGTGTGTGTGTGTGTGTGTGTGTGTGTGTGTGTGAAAACAGTCCACCTGGACTCTGACATGTCCTCGATCCTTCATCTATGCATCAAACCAGCCTTGTTCCTCTCCTTGCAAACCGTGCTGTATCTCTTTTTCTGTCAGTTTTTTCCTCTTTCTGTACATCTCCTGTCCTCTTCTCTTTTCCTCGCTTCCTCCTGCAGTCATCCCCCTGTCCTCTCTCTGTCCTCTCTCTGTCAGCCTCCCTCTGCTCTCCGCTCGCTGTGATCAATTAGGAGACATTAGTCCCACGGTTATTCCAGGTGACAGAACCTCGGGAGCCCGCGCTCTCCTTCATCCTATCCTTCTGCGTCCTCTCACTTTCTCCTCCTTGTCACTCCTGCTCCACCTTCCCCGTCTTTTTTCTCCCTGCAGTGAAAACTCCAGACCTCCCTTCTCTATTTCCCCCCTCCCTTATACTCCCCTTCTCTAATCCCCTTCGGCGCCAACAGTGACATACCAGGTCTCCTCCGTCTCTCAAGTCATCTATCCTCCTCTTCCTCTCCACTTTGTCGCGGCTTCATGCTGACAGTGACGCATCTCCCTCCTTCCCCTCTGCCCTCTCTGCTCCAACTCCATTACACCTCCTTTCTTTTTTTTCGCCTTCCTCTATCTCGCTCTCTCCAGGTTTCCGTTCACAATGTCGGACCTCTTCCCTCCTGTATGCCAACTGTTCACCTGTATCCTAGCAACCACCTCTCCTTTGGCTTCGGTGCTCCATGAGGAGCAAGCAAACAAGACGCCGGGGGAATGAAGAACAAGCACTCTCGTTTATCCTCCTCCCTCCATCCGTTTCAGTCATTCCTTCACACGTAAAGACGCCTCCGCTAGCGTATGGAGCTTTAACTGAAAATGTGACTCTCTGTCCTCCAGACACATAAACTCTCTCTAACTCACATTTATGTACTCAAATGCGCACGTTTATTCCATCTTGTGTGTATGTTATATGAATAAGCTTCAAAAAGAGATATTATCTACCGTGTTTCTGAAGCACGCTGAGTCCAGCCTTTGTAAAAGCAACTCAGTGTGCATGCATACGTGTTTCCGTAGAATGTCGAGCAATTGTTGAAAAGCTTTATTTATAGTGTTGAGAAGAAAGAGAAAAGGAATTTGTTTGAAGGCCAGCATACCCTCACAGCTTTGCAATCAGAGGCACACATTGCCGCACACACATCCTGTAGGTAGCCCTGAGAGAAGGAGTATTCGTACACACACGCGCACAAAGAAGAAAAATGCTGCTCAGGCACATGTGTCCTGGTGTAATTTATGAGCGGGCTCCTGGGCGGACGCCTCGGAGGGGTCCTCTTCACGCTGCATGGCTCTGGGTGCTCTGCGCAATCCCCCCAGTGATTGCCGGGTTCTCTCACACACACTCACACACAAACAATGTAGTACAAAATCCCCCTTATGAGCAGTGAACTCTTCCGACCGAAACTCGCTGCACGATTAACGCTACAAAGAGCTAGGTAAACACTAGGGTTTCAGGCTTGGCAGCACTGCTACAGCTCTGTTCAGCACAGACACAACCAGAGCAAAACATTTCCTTACAGCAGCTGAAAAAGGGGGCCACACAGTTAGCAAAAGTGAAAACGTATTAACAATAAAGTATCATTTGCGGTGCTCATCTAACCGAATTATAGCCACTTGCACAATTAAGTTAGGTGGTAAAGCACTGATGTCTGGCATATAATAAAACAGTAAATACACAGAGAGCTTAGAGGGAAACTGAATAGCAACTCTTGCTCCTCACTTACTGAACTCCATTCAAAAAACAATCTGCTCTATTCATATATAGAGAGCATGCTTACAAGTCTTTTAAAGCTAGAAATGCCCACAGGAAAATCAAATGTTGGAGTGGTGCAAAAACGTTTGAATAAGTTAATTTTACAGTAGCCTCATGTAGTTCATTTGTATAGCGATTTTAGTTTTTGGGCGATTGTAGTTAAACAATGAAACCATTTGGGAATACAAAAAGCAAAAGATAGGTCATTGTTTTGACAAATCTTCAAGTTATACTTTTCTAAAACGGTGCTTCAGTGAACCAAAGGATTCACCCTAAGTAACTTTACTGTAGTTCAATTTCTTGCAGTGTTAAATAATTGGTATTTTGCAAAGTTATGTTCTTGATATATCTTCCAAAAATATTGGTCATTTTTATAATGGCTAATGCTTTATATCAGATTTAAAAATGTATAATTTATAAATAATAACAGGCATGGTTTCTCCTTGAGGCTGCATATCCTTATGGAAATTTGTCATATATTTATACATTTTGTTTATTTGTTTGGATGATACTACCTTATATTCAAAAGGGCAGACACTGGGAATTTAGTCTTTACTTTGAAATTATAACAAGCTCATGCGACAATTATTAAGACATGACAATACTGTTAACAAGTTGTATGTATCTGGCAAGTGCACAGATGGTGCCCTAACAATGATGTAGTTGTAGAAGGAACTAAAGTGAATAAGGCAAGCAATTATGTTCTGTGAAAAAGACAGATTTTTTCTAATGATTATCCTCATTAGTTCCTTATCAACTTGCTATTATTAACGATTACATGTTCTCAGATGAAAACAAATATTTGTGTCATTGCGGCCCCTAGTGAGCCCTAATAAAACAAGATGGAGGTTGTATGCTCCGCCACATCCCTGCCCTCAAGGAGGTCTTTCTCCCCCCCCCTTCTGCTCCCTAGCTCCATATGTGTGGCTGTCCAGCGCAGTGTGACCACGTAAAGCTCAGGAGAGGATGGATCTGTCTGTGGGCCCCAGGCGAGGGGCCTTGATCTGCTCTGGAGGACACACACACGGCTCTCAAGGGCACAGAGGGGGTACGCAACGCCCCCTCACAAACACGCACGCACGCACGCACGCACGCCACACACACACACACAACTTCAGGGGACATTACATTGACTTACATGCATTTTCAGGAGACTTATCCTAACCTTAACCATCACATGCCTAACCCTAACCAAGTCTTCACCATAAAATTAATTATTCCCCTCATGGGGACCTCCCTTACACACTCACACTCACTCACTCACTCACTCACTCACTCACACACACACACACACACACACACACACACACACACACTCACTCACTCACTCACTCACTCACTCACAGTCGATCTTAGAACAGCAAACTCCATTGACATGTTTAAAAGCAAATTATAGTTAAAAACTATAATTATGACACACGGACACAAATAGAGAGTTTAACATATGAAAACAAAATGAGATGAAGCAAGGGGGTGATTGAGTTTATCTCCTTGTATAATGTGGGGGTTTTCTAGTTGCAGACACAAACAGAGAAGCTGGTATCATGCAATCAATCAATCAGTACCCAATAAGGCCAATAATACTCATATGTGTACTGTAGTGATTATAGCAGAACACATACAGTACTCCGGTCTGTAATTACAGATATTGACATACACATAACTCGGTGTGTGACTTGCTGCAGTCTGACATGAAAAACATGACTTTAAAGTTCATGATATTATGAATATAAAAGTAACCTGATATGTTTTAGATAACAAGCATAACAATACACATGTCGAAGCGCACTGAGAGAGCGCAGAACTCATCAAAGGCTTTTCCATAAGTGAAAAATAATGTGTGCAACCGCGCCAACATTTTATGGGTTTCCTCTTTGGCCCGAGCTTCACCCTTCCACTCAAAACAAGGCCAGTATTTTTATTCTGATGACAAACAAACAACTCCTTAGCGGAGGTAATAAAAGCAATCAATTCAGGATAAAGTATATAGAACGTCACTTTGAGGCATGTCAAAATATGCGGTGTTTTCCAATTCCATCATCAACAAGATTAGCAATCATCCTTTTAGTTTTAGTGTATGTGATATTTCTGTAAGATGATACATCCCATTTTCTCAATCCTATTGTCCTTGAAACACTTGGAACCCCTCTCAGTCCTCTGAAAGGGCCGTGTGTTTGCCAGCTAAAGACAACATGTGTTTCTATGACTGATGTTTTCATTTTGAGATTCTGGCAGCTCGACCAGGTTTACTGTTATTTACTGTTCAAAACGAGGCAGGAGTCCAGTAGCAGGGATGAGCTGGAGTGAACTGACTTTATGTGGTTTGAACGCTTCATAATTCATCTGTATCGAACTCCCCAAAGCCAAAGTGGGTCAGGACAGATTCACGACCCAGAGGAATGTTTTTATTCAGCGATATCACGTCTGTAGACTAAGCAGAAGTTGTTTTACATGAATGTGGGTCAGAGGTGGGAAGTAGTGGAGTACAAATACTTTGTTACTGTACCTAAGTACATTTTTCTGGTATCAGTACTTTACTCCACTACTTATTTTTCTGACGACTTTTTACTTTTACTTCTTACATTTTGAACACAAATACCTGTACTTTCTACTTCTTACATTTTCAAACCGCATTTGGTGGCGCGATCATTATTATTTAGAGTCATTGTGTGCCTAAAACGATCCGTGTATCCATCATTTCCTGGTCTTCTCTAAAGAAGAGGGACCAATGAAAACGTTGTCATGTTGCCGTTGTTCAGCATGGAAACATTCATTAGCTAACAATGACATTAGTGTTCTATTAATATAAAGGGAGGTCAGGTACTCTTTAAAACAGCTGGTAGTTATGGGTACTTTTTACTTAAGTACATTTCGAAGCCCATACTTCTTAGTTTAGTCAGTACTTCTACTTTTAACAGAGTATTTTTAAACACAAGCATCTGCAGTTCTATTTGAGTAAAGGATGTGTGTACTTTTTCCATTTCTGGCTGTTATAAAGAGATGTGTGACTAAGTATGTGCGAAACGTAAGACCCTCTATAATTAAAACCCGTAATATGTCATCCTCATGAATAATGCTTGGTGCGGTATCACTTACCGATGAAGTAAGACAGTAGGATGGCCAGCAAGGCAGCAGCTGCGATGGCTGACACCGCGGCACATTTCCAGCTGCAGTACTTGGACGGCTTCTTTAGCTTGAAGGCTGAGCGGGAGAAGGTGTTTCTGGGTAGCAGGCGAGGGGGCGGAGAATACACGGTTCCCGAGGTCAGAGGGTAACCAGGAGAGGAGCTACTGAAGAGGGGCGTGGTCCCTGACGATGTCTTGAACAAGAAGTGCCTGGAGAGGAGAACACATAAAGGAAAATGGTCAATCCGCAGGTTATTTTTTCAATTTTAGTGCGGATCATAAGCAGTAAAAAAGCACTTCTTTCGAGGTAAACAGGGTGCAGACACACAGGCCAACTACTGAATCAGAGTCGAGATTACAGGGTCACATATGGGAAAGCATCCTTCCAATTTCTCTTTCTGATGAACCCTTCCTGCCATGTAGGTTGGAACATCCTTCAACTGATTATGTCTCCAATTCATCCCGTTCCAGTCCAAAGTCTTTTTTTAACCTCCAGCTGCTCTACTCGTTTTTTTCCCCTTCTCCACTACCCTCAAATCGCTTCCATTCACCCCACTTGCCTCATTTCTGCTAGAAATGGCTTGAGAGCATCTTTGCCGTGCTCCTCTCCTGCCCTCATTGCCCCAGGAAGGTCAGAGCTCTGAGGGAGGATTTGAACCATCATCCCGTTGCTCGTATTACCCATTATCCTCTGATATCTCTGCACCTGCTCACCCGACGTGTCTCCTTTCTAACCCACCCTCCCTTCCCATTTCACAATGCTATCGTTTTTCTCGGCCTACTTTCACTCCTATCCTTCTTACTGTTCCTCAGCGTCTCCTTTCTTATTCTCATATCTGCCTCTTAAGACTTCTTTTCTGATCTGACTTTGAAGGGGACGATGTGCCATGATAAATAATTAAAAAGACTCAACCTGAGAAAACTTTTCAAGGGCAGAATTCTCAGAAATAAACTTGTAGCGCACACAGGGAGCGAGGAGGTGCTCCTTCACAGACTCCAGGTGGTAGAACAGAAGAAAGCCCTCAGGTGAGTGTGACAGATCAGAGGCCATTCTGGCTCAAACATGACTGAGGAGAGGGAGTTTTTGTCTTGGTGGAATTGCTTGTTTATGTGCTGGGAGAAATGTCTGCAAAGAGAGGATGTTTGTTCTTCACTTCTTGAAAGGCTGTTTCAGGGCAGTCTTGATGTTATAGGCATGTTCTGATCATCTTATCTTGGGTCTAATTGACGTAGTTTTATCAGTAATTTCCTGGATATGATAAGATTTTCCAACAAAGTAATTGCTGAGATGTTGGGACACGCCAAACATTTAGCTTGATAATCTTACAGTAATAGTCTACTTCTTTGATGGCTCCTAAAGGATTGTTGACATCCATCTGGATTCATCGTCATCTTATTTATAGACACATGCATTTTCAAGCATTTGGACTACGTATGTTGTAAATGTATTATCTTTTTTGATTTACACACGACACCTAATTGCACGTCTGTCTGTCCTGGGAGAGGGATCCCTCCTCTGTTGCTCTCGCTGAGGGTTCTTACATATTTCCCAATTAACTGGGGGGTTTCTATGGGAGTTTCTCCTTGTCCGATGTGAGGGTCCAAGGACAGAGGGTGTCGTATTCGTGTTCTGTAAAAACTTTAAAGTCCACTGAGACAAATGTAAAATGTGTGATATTGGGCTACATGAATACACTTTGATTGATTGATCATTTTTAATGGAGGCAAAACCAAAAGTGAGCACACAAAAAATACTGGAAATTAAGTCGTAAGGCCTAACTATGTTATTATTATTATTATGTTACAATTATAGATGGCTAAACACTGACGTTAGACTTTGACAATTTCTTTAATGACATAAAAATGCATAATTTAGGCTGCAAAGTCCTGCATGCAAACATTTTATAACTCCTTTCTTTCACAGAAAATGTTGTTCTTTCTTTTCCTCTGTGACTTTACTGGTTAAAATGATTGACTGAAATACTGGTTAGGTTGAAAGTCCAATAAACACAATTAAAAAAAACGATGTAAGGAAAATAAAGTGTTTTGTGGTATTTTCTATCTTTGGTCTTTGTCAAGTCATTACAATTTAAAAGGCTAAAGTCCAAGTTAATCACAAGGCATCAGTCTAAAAGTCAACGTCAAGTCTTTTCTTTGTCAAGTGGAGTCTATCGTCACCACATTTGTGACACAAGACTGCCTCAAGTTAGAGAAATGTGATCACATGAGGAGTCCTCAGAAGTAAAGTAAAAAACCTTAGTGCTTTTTTCAAATGTGCTCTGTTCTCTAGTAGCTCACTGTCTCTTTTTATCAGCTTGTACGACCAGAAACTATTTAGAATAATGCTTAGCTGCACTTTGCTGTGTAGTCTTCCTTTTGACGTTTTTAAAACTGCTGTTTCATAACAGCTTGTGTGAGTACAAGAGTGTTCCCTTCTTAAAAATAGTCAGGGAAAACAGTTGATGTGCTCAGAGCATAACGATTTGGTTTGGGAGCACCGCTGCACTCTCTATCAATTATTCAGCCAGTCTCTGCCCCCCTCTCTCTCTCTCTCTCTCTCTCTCCCTCTCTCTCTCTATCTCTCTCTCTCTCTCTCTCTCTCTCTCCTCATCTCATGCCACTGATTGTTGGAATGGCCCTGCTTGATTCTCCTCTTTTCTCTCATCCTCCCTCCCCTGTTTTACCTGTGAGGTACGCTGCATGCCACCAAGGAAAAAATAGGAAAAAAGAGGGATAGAGGCTAGATTGCGCATGGCATTCATGTGTTCACGCCCAAACAAGCACGCACGTACCCACGCACGCATGCACGCACACACACACACACACACACGCACGCACGCACGCACTTACCCACGCACGCACGCACGCACGCACGCACACACACGTACGCACGCACGCACTTACCCACGCACGCACGCACACACATAGACACACTCCAAGGTCAACCAGCATGCGTCTTCGCTTCAACTAATTTTCACCGGCACTCTGTGATGGCAAGGCCAGCGGTAATTAATTGCGATACCCCCAATGTGTGTGTGAGCGCAGGGACGGGAGCGAGATGGTCAATTACTTGCGACACAATGTATGCGATTTAATGTGCTGGTATGCATTTGAACGAGGGCGCCGAATTCATTTCATTGCCTTTCTTTGTTGTTTGTGTGCAGACGCTTTACTGTGAGCTTGGTGTGGGATGGGAATATGTCTATGGGCCATACTAATTACGAGTAGGAATGGAAAGTGTCTAATGTGCTCTGGGGAGGTAATTGACATTGATTTATGTTGCGGAGGACTATGGAGGGGTTCTATCATAGCAGGCAGCCGGCAATCACAATTCTGTATCATTAGGCTGGGGTGTGTGTTTGCTTGTATGCGTGTGTGTGTGTGTGTTTGTGTGTGAATATTGTGGGTTTTTGACAGTGGTCCAGCATGGAAACGTCACACATAATTAGAGAGCTGACAGAACGCCCCCCCCCCCCTCCACTCCTCCTTATCCTCTTGAGCTGCCAGCAGCACCCCCCAACCCTCCCTCAAGTCTAACCATTGCTACCTCGCTGTCATGCATCCTGTCTTACACATGCAACACACACACACACACACACACACACACACACACACACACACACACACACACACACACACACACACACACACACACACATGAAGAACAGGCAACACTAACTCACACACTGACACACATTTGCACAGGCTCAGACATAGGCGCCCACCCACGCACAAACAATACAAATTCATGTGGGTTTTCCTTTCATGAGATCGCCCTGTACGTGTTACTAAACGTTTAATTTGCATCCTCGCGGAACAAAATTGACATAAGAGAAGGATGGAGAAGGGGAGGGGGGAGGCTATAGATTAGAACACACACTGTGAGAAGGAAGGGAGGATGTGTTTTCTCTCCATTCCAACCCTGTTCCCCATTGAGAGGAAAAGAGGACCTGGACAATTAACCACAGAACAGAGAGCATGCTGGGTAATTAGCAGGAAGTCAAAGCTCGCATTCCCCCTTGAGCGTGCGACAACACGCGCTTTCGCGGGCGATGCGCACACATTCATGATTTTTTTGTCAGCTTTCACAAACATGTGGTGGCTGAGGATAGCACTCTGAGAATAATCGTCAGAGGTAGAACAATTAGCGGAGGTCGGCTCGGTATGGGGTCGACTGGAAAAACTTATCAGATCTGAGAATGAAACAAAAGGCTTGGGGGGTGGAGGATGCTCAACGATGGCGTCAGGAGAATTGTTCCCCGCTACAATAGTAGGAAACAACAATCGGCAGATGGACGCAGTATAATGGGCATTCATTCGCTGAGTGTTGCTTTGAAAGAGGACAGGGAACACTTCTGAGGCTATGTGTAAAAAGCCAAATTATACAAAGGATCATTGAGTATTCAACCATCCAGAAATGCTATGAGGAATTTAAGTAATTCAAATGACACCCTATTTGTTTTTAGTAAAGGTGCCCCACATCACCTGAAATAAACAATAACATCTGCTATTGTCAAAGGGCTGTATTGCATTCTTTTCTAAAACTACACATTATGATTATTAGGATTTGGTGAATATTAGATTTGGTAAAGGGTTAGGTGATTGTTCATCATCAAGTATAGATGAAAGGCATCATAATTAGTCTGTTAGAACTCAGCATTTGATTGAACCATTGATCAAAGACCAGCATGTTAGGTTGGCTCAAGTTAGTTTGATAACAGTCGGATACTCACAACAGAGTCTGATTTGAGTTGAAGGTCGTTTTAAGTTAATTTTTTTTCCATCTGGATTTAAGCTATTACTTCCTGTCATCATTCCGTGTTTCTTTGTGGTGTTTCAGGGATTTTGTACAGCTGTATACACTTGAAAATCAACCAAGGCTATGTGGATGGTGACATGGGGTGTAATTATGTGATATACTAGCTCTGCCCACTTGGGATGGACTAACCTTAAGGATCATAGTCAGACTTGCAACAGAAATTACTTTTTAAGCCCCTCAAAATGACATTTAGTTGAGCAACAAGGTCAATTTAGTAGCTGAATTTGGGCTTTATATGAATCCAACATAGACTCTAAGTGTATTTGGTTCTTCCTTGGCCCATACTACACCCTTCCATCATGTTTCATAAAAATCGTCGTTTTTGAAACTGGCTGACAAACACACAAACAAATGGTAGGTAAATCATAGCCTCCTTGGCGGAGATAATGTATGAAGTGGAGTTAAAAACAACCTAGTTTGTAAGGGTAGTGGCTCTGCATAATGATGTTACGTTTATAGTATATACTGTTTGAATACAAGATCATATCATTACTATAATAAACCCTGCATGGTATTATGTACTTCCCATATGCATATTAGCGTCGTGGTTACGGGGCAGGGGCATGAATCTTTCCTCCTCCACCACCCCCTGTTGTTCCCACAGGTAGCATCTCCGCATCATTCCCCGCAGTAATGCATTTGAAAGTAACCTATAGCCCCCCCCCCTCCCCCCCACACTCTGCTGCTCCTTCCCCATAAATTGAGATGCTGCAACCCTCTCAGTGATCTTATTCCTCCCCTAGAGCTGTGGCCCCGAGCGGAGGGAGCGGGGTGGGGGGGTGTGGGGTGCAGGGGAATGTCCTGAGATCGCAGAGAGAGATTGAAACTGGCATCAGCTAGCCAAGAGGCTCCAAGGGACCGATTGGAAATCAGGTGCTTTCTGGCAATGCTGCAACACATTTACACACGTGTGCGCTCACATGCACACAGAAAAAAGGCATTCTTTCTGTCTGTTTCTCACAAACACAGTGGCACCAGCCATCTATAGTCATTTATCTCTCACCGGTAAATGTATCCATGTTCGTCGGGCCCCAATCTTTTTCCTCTGCCTTTCTATCTTCGCTTACACACACTCCCCCAAAAACAATCTCCTTCAATCACCACCTCTCTCCATTTCCCTCCCTCTCTCTCCCGTTTTTTCTCTCCCTCCACTAACGTAAACCATTCCTTTCTACCCCCCCTCCCCCCCCCCTCTAACTCTCTGGACTTATATTTCTCAGCGATATCCCCCCAAAATCCTCCTCCTCCGCCTCCTCCTTCTCGTCTGTTCCTATCTCTCTCTTTCGCTGCCAGTCATTCAAGCCCTGGGGTGTTCTTAGGTGATCAATCTTCATCCTCTCAGCGCTGTCACTCTGTCGGGTCATGCCAAAACACACGTGCGCACACACATCCGCTATAACGAGTGGACAACAAAATGCCAACATTTACATATGATTACAGTGGGGGGCAGAGGAAGTGGAACACACATGCGAAGGATGCGAACACCCACAATCTAGCCTCCCCTTCCTCAAAAAAGTGCACGCGCGTTCATCTTCTCATGGCTGCCGGTTGTAACGAGATGGAGGCCGGGCTATGCCAAAGCGGGGATGGTGTGACTCTCTGGCTCGGCCGCGGCTGGCTCTCTCTCAGTCACGGGCTCCAGCAGCTCCAGCCAGCTCACCCAGCCTCCGCCATCACCAAACCCAGAGAGGAGGGCCCAATCTGGGCTGGAGGGTGGAGCTGGAAACCCGTCCGCTCTGGGCTCCATCCACTGCGACAGGCTCTGAGCCATGCCCAACCCCACCACCTGAACATGACCAAATACTGGCACCGCGGAGAGCTCAACAGCGTGTGTGTGTGTTTGAATCTGTAAAGATGGCAATAACAACATAGCTTCTGTGAAAAGAGGATTTATTACTTTTATTTTCGCTACCCAAACGTCACTAAAGATAATTTGCAATAAAATAAAACATCCTCTATACTAAAATTACATTATGGCATATGCATCGCCATGGAAACGCAGGTAAGGTAAACAATCGGGACTGGAAATTGCTTCTATTTCAAGCCGTAGGTATTCTTGTTCAATACCTTCTTCTTATCCATCATGCATACTGACGTGATGCATCAGCACAGGTTGAGCACAGACCTGAGACCAGTGGGGCTGAATTAAACATGGCCGGGCCTCATAAATACTGCACAGGGCCGACACTCAGGGGAGCTTATCCGGGACCATAAGAGCTGGAAGTCCCAGCGCCCAGCAGGAGAAACACAACTACAGCTCGCAGAGTAAATGCTCACGGAGCGAGCGTGCGCATGCTAGCAAGCATGTAGCCAGCGTCCTTCTCACTGTATGCCTCATGAATAGTAATACCCTGCATGAATGCTCTGTTTGCCTGGTAAGTGTTCTTTGTGTACTGGCAAAAGCGTGTGTGTAAAGTGTGTGAAATGGTTTGTATTTCCTGCTCCCTCAATTCAGGGTGCATGCATAATAGCTTTGACACATGGTGGCTTTCTGTATGTGCTGCTCCAGGAGATAAGGTAGAAAATGCATTTGAGTAGCACACCTTTGTGAATCAGAGGCCATGAGCACTGTTTCATTATCTTTAGGTGGTTCATATATTGGTGTAGATTGATGGAGGGGAGTTGTGACTAACAGCACATGATATTCTGTAGTTTTCTGTTTGATCAGTGAAGAAAAACCTGTGGCTTTTGTCCATTAGACGAATGAAAAACAAATGATACTATGAGCCTCGTAAAGGCTGCTCAATAATCAGGTGAACTGCTTAAAGGTAATGTCTTCTACCTTTGCCCTCATTCCTGACCTTTATGTTACGTAATACTACTCTGAAGGACTACCGTATGAGAGGATGTCAGAATATTGCACTGTAGCTCTCTGGCATTTGTTAAATTTGGTGCAGAATGATGAAAATACAACTCATTCTGGGTAAGAAACTCAGTGTGGTAAAGACATTTGTTAAGAGGCTGTTGAGTACGGTGGCCCGCAAAACGACCTACATCGACACAAAACACTTACATTAGAAGAAATGGGCTGCACTTTATAAAACGAAGCACATATTTAAAAAACAAATGTGCCAAAACAGATGCTAAAGAAGAAACATCTTCACCAACTTGACGAAAAATGCGGAAACGAGGACACTAGAAAGTGTTAAGGTTCTGGAATTATAATGTGTTGAAGATGTTTCTACTCTGCATATGTTGTGGCACATTTGTGTGTTTTAATTTGCACTTTTCTTTATGTCGTCTAATGTAGGTTTTTTTGGGCAGATGAAGTGCTTTAGCCCCTGTCTGCTACCGTAGTTAAGATATCCGTCACACCTTTTTATGAGAGTAACATTTCTAAATTCAAACTCTGGTCGTTTCAAAAATAATCTCCATGAAACAAGGATTTGCTCCTGAGTAATTCTGTTTTTAGATTTTAGAGTTATATTATGGTAAATTGTTTTACACTCCACTTTGTGGTTTTGTCGATATTGCAAGTCCATTAAAACGTTTTCTTGCTTAATATTTTTTTCATTATTTGAGCTGGATGTTCATCAGTGGTCACTTGAGATGCATGTATTTAAAAATCATGTGTGAACTAATGTATCTATTTTAAAGCTGTCCACTTGTGATAGGCACCTTAAAGACACATGTTAATACCAGGTGTACACAGGTCATGCTGGTTTACACTGGCCTGACAGTGATGTTTGCCAAGGACATTAAGAAGATTGAAAACCTTTTGGAGATTTTGTATAGACCCTAGAGAAAGTAAACTGTTTTGTATCAAATTTCATCCTCCTTGGCTCTTGCTTTCTAGCATTTCTCTCCATCACCATGGTTCTTTTCTAACAGGAATGTTGTGGAAGCAGCATGGCTCTGACCTTCCGTCCCTCACTATTGATTACTCAAGGCTCACACCGCCGCTGTGCTTTCAGTAGGTGGCTCTAGATATCTAGAAAAAAGAAGAAAAAAGAGGAAACATTTCTTACCTGGTCTCCAGCGGGACGTTACTGTTGAGCACCCAGCTGTCTTGCAGCTGAACAGACTCGGGGGTGGTGGGCCCGTCTCCAGGACCCGGAACCGGGGCGTGGATGGGGTTGCGTCCCCCTCTCAGAGTGTTTCTGTTCAGACTGTTTGCAGACTGGTGGGATAAGGTGTGGTGGTTGTGCGGAGGGGGCAGTGGAGGCCGTAGTGTGGATTGGCTGTGGTGGTTGGCAGCCCCTGGAAGGAGACCAAACAGAGAGGAATTTTAGCATCACACGTCTTTGTGACGGAAATCAAACAGAGCTTCAGATAAAAGGGAGGGAAGGATTTTATTTCAAGCTGCTACAAGTGTGAGACAAACACATTATTTGATATTGTTTATTTTGCAGCAAAGCAATAAAAGTAAACCTTTTCAGCTCACAGGATAGCATAATTAGCAGTCCATTATGCGCTACTGATGTGTCTGCAATCATTTTGTCGGAGTAGGTGTCGAATTTTCCAAACGGTCGATAACTTTTTTTAGCAGGAATCTCCACCTAAATAGATACATGTTATTTGATAATCGTGTTTCCACATTTTGCTTTCACTTTTTCTCTATGATTTATCCCGTCTTATTTTTAGCCAAGTCTTCCGTTCGATGTTGTTTGCCTTTTCACAACTGAGAGAAAGTGTGTGCGTGTGTGTGAGTGGTATTAGAGCACTCGGCACAGCGTGTGCCCTCATCTCTCGCTCTCAGACTTGGGGGAACATGTCAGCTAGAATCCAATACCAGCCCTTCCAACTCTGAGCTAATGGACTGTCGAGTGAGAGAGCTGAAAAACAAACCCGGATGACTCAGACAAGAACACCCATTCACACATCACCTTTCTATCTCCGACGCTCTCTCTCGGTGGGGGATTTGAGCCTGTCTATAGCGTGTGTGTGGGTTCGTACAGTAAAATCAATAAACCACATTCTATACAGTACAGGAGAGCTTGTCAGGGTTACATCACTTAGCATACCTTTGTTCACAAATTGACAGGTAAATGTACTCAAAGCGACACTGATCAAAAAGAGGGCATACAATCACTTTGTGTATCACAACAAACTGTCCAAACCTTTATTTTAATCTGAACAGGGATGTTGGAATTATTGCAAAACACACAGGGTTATTGACTTAACTTTGAATTCTTGCTTAACATCACTATTGGCTTTTTCTCACATTAAAACAACACGCTGCATTTCCTTTATTATACTACACATCTGAGCGTGGATTACATTAAGTTGATTGTGTTTGTTTGCAAATAGCCTTCTGGTGTTGATCAAAGGGTGAGCAGTAAGTGCACATATGCACACGTATGTGCGGGGTGAAAACAACAGCAGCAACTGCTTTGTCAAGCTGCGCGATCACACTTGTACCCCGAGCATTTGTCATCTCCTCTTGAATTAGATGAGAAAAGAAACAGCGTGTGAGAAGAAGAGAGACGAGTGGATGTGGCAAACGCTCCTGCCCCCCTTTCAGCTTTGATATTTGTCCATCAAGAGAGTCATGAGCGGCATCCATGATGACGACTCCTACACTGAAACAACACACAGAATGTAGAAGTTCACAGAAACCACCTCGAAGAAATCTATGTTTTAAACATATTTATATTTGTAGCATTAAGCAGGGGTGGATATTGTCAGAATGAGTCCCTGGGCACCTGCATGCAAAAGGCCCCCCCACTTATCCTACATGGTGCCAAGTCACTTAGAATTTAAGACAATTGAGCCTTTTTTAGTCGTTGTTATGCATCTCTGTTAATTTTTCCTCTTTTTTTATCGTATTGTATCTCTTTGTAGTTTTTTAATTGTTGTTTTTTTCTTTCTGTTATAACTTTTAGATTATAATTTTTTTGTAATCATTTTGTGCTTGTTTTGCAAATATATATATATTTTTTATTTTAGTTTCGTGTAGTTCATTTGTTTCTTTCTGCAGTTGTCTGTGTATCTTTGTAGTTGCTTTGCCTCTATTTGTGGTTGTTAAGCATGCACAATTGTTGTGAGTCTCTTTGAGGTGTCTTTCTTTTCATTTGTTTTGTTGTCTTATTTGTCTTTTTATGTCCCAGGTGTTTATTCTTTTCTGGTAATTGTGAGTCTTAACCTGGTTGGTGCATGACTCTTTGGGTCACATTTGTCAAACATTGAGCTAATGAAACGTTGGGCCCATAATAATCCATCTATGGAATTAAATCATTCCCTCTTCCTAATTTCCTTTCTCTAGGCGGGTGTTTAGATCATATAGGGGGCATGGCACTCCTTTGCATCTGCAGCTGTAATGGCGACCAGTTTGTAAGGTGACCTGATTCCACCGGGCTGCCACTGGGACGCAGGTGTCACCCACATGGCCCCGAAGAACAGATGCTAGTGAAAGGAGAGAAGAGCCGAAGTGGGCGAGGAGACGAGAGAAAGACGAAGGGGCCTGACCTCTGCTACACGGGAGAGACGCAAAACATCTGTTTGTTTGCACATGCGAAGATGCTCCTGGGAGAACCGGCGTGCATATATTGGCATATGCAAACTGACATGCAGTTACACTCCTGCAGGAAAAGTCCAACTCTTGCATCATACATGCAGAGTGTAAATTGATATTAAAGCATGCAAAGAGTATATCTCTCCTCCTCCTTTCCATACAGCCAAATTCTTTCTTCAAGGATTGTTCCCCTCTCCTTTTATGGTGATTTTATTTGCATTTTGTTTGTGTCTTTTGCTGAGATGTAAAGCACTTTGGGATAAATCTTGTTTCTTAAGAGCACTTCATAAATACATTTGAACCGACTTCCCCTCTCTGCAATGCATACATAAATGTGACAGAGCTCCAACTACACCCTATCTGCATAAATACTTTTTTTATCCAAGCAGAGCAACAATGCACACAACACAGAGCATGGGAAATACACTGGGAAAAATAAGCTCGCACGCACACATGAAGGCATGGGCACACAGTCTGTGCGATATGAAAATAAAAGTAGGCACCATGTTAAAATCTGCGCACAGCAAACATGCACAGGTTTGTTTTTGTCTTTGTTCACTTTCCTGCTATAAATACTGAATAGTTTTTTATTCAAAATGGGATGAATAATACATGGCACACGTTGTATGGAAGAGGAATACATGGTTTTATAGCCTTAGTTTTCTATGTACTGCTGAGTGCGTGTACAAGCATCAATTGTGTGGAAATGTATGTGTGTGTGTGTACTGTTTAACAGTCCAGTCACTATATTGTTACACAGGGACTGAGTAATAAATCCTGTCGTGTTGCAGAAACTCACATCTGCCACATTTTGTAATAAAGATTTTAACATTCCGCTTGAAAAAAGACACAGAAATGCTATTATCTATCAGACAGCTGTGAATTGTATTATGAGTCTCCAGATAAAGTCAGAAAAATGTAAATGCTGAGAAAAGTACTTCTTGTAATTCTATGCGTTTTCTGGCCTCCTGGGGCCGCGTACTGTCAGGTTAGCTGAAGTGAATTGTTACATGATAGAATGAGATTGTTTCTTTTATTCTGCATTGAATCAATATTTGCTAAATAAAGTGCATGAATGATTCAATGCTAATGTTTACTGTTCTTTAGGCACATGCCGCCTTTGTCTTCCACATCGACTTTAGTGTGCTGCAAAACAGTTACGACCGGAGACAAATTGCTTTCCTTTTTTCTCTGCTACAGAACAAAGTGATGTCAAAGAAATGTATTTTCATGTAGACTCAAAATCCATTAAAACAAATCCTTAAAAGCTCTTCAGAGAAAACACAAACACAAGGAGAAGTGGGGTCTGCCCGAGAAACAAGACTGAAGTATAAGGCCGTTTTTTTTCTTTCATATGCTCAGACAACTTCTGACGAGAACCCCAGATTGCTTTAGCCACAGAAACACAAATCTGACCAACCATTGGAACAGAGGCAGCGCGCAGTAACAAGTAGGCTGCGGGCAAATGGATCCAATAAATTAAGATAGAGGACTTAGTCAGATGAATTGTCCGGTTTGTTCAAGTACAACCCGCAGGTAGGCTGATAGGAACAACTGTTTTAACCGGGAACTCAGTCTGATAAAAGGCAAAACATGCGGTGAGGAAATAGAGCAATTAGGGAGCAGCCAAGCATTTCACATTTTATTCCACTTTATCTTTCCCTCCTTTCTTTCCTCTCTCTTTGACTTGCCAGTGTGAGTAAACAGCGATTTTGAAAAGATTCTCTTAACAGCTCTCGGTTTTGTTTTCGCTGCCACTTTTTGTAGACAAGCTTGAGCCCTTCTGACTGCTGTTGAAGCCTGACCCACTTTATTCTGTCCAACGTCCCCCTGCGCCTAGAGAGGAGGGGGGGGACGGGACGGAACGGGACGGACGACACACACCATATAGCTGTAAGCTGGTGGTTTGGCTCAGGCTAATCCCTGGAAGTTCATTGTGCTTTGCAATTCAAAAGGAGCCTCATTCAGCGGAGGAGCATTAGCCTGTCTGCTAACCTGCATCCTCTGTAAAGCACACAAGTGAGAGGCAGGGGCTCGCCACACCATTTGAATCTCACAGTGTGAGTGTGTGTGTGTGTGTGTGTGTGTGTGTGTGTGTGTGTGTGTGTGTGTGTGTGTGTGTGTGTGTGTGTGTGTGTGTGTGTGTGTCTATATGAGTGTGTGACCAGCTGGCAGAAACCAATGCAGTTTGTTTTGTTGCCATGGATAGGCAAACTGTTTATTGACATTTTTCTGTGGTTAACAGAAATGTCGCAGGGCAGGATATGCACCTGGATGTGTGTGTGTGTGTGTGTGTGTGTGTGTGTGTGTGTGTGTGTGTGTGTGCAAAATAGAAATGCTCATTCAGCAGTTAAAAAGGGATCATCGCAGGGCTCAGCTCCCTGCCCTCCCTCCGTCCTTCCCACTCCTTCTGTCTCAATATTTATTTTATTTCACGACCCATATCTCCACTGCTCCTACATTTCTTTAAAAAAACAAAACAGTGCCACCCCCCATTGTTTTTCATGCACCTTCTCCCTGTGTTAATTGCTATTCTCCCTGTGTTTTAAGGTGGTATCTTCCCATGTGCTGCTGCTTCATATGTCCTCTGTCTGAGAATGTCATATTCTCCTCATTTGTCATTCTTCTCAGAGCTCAGAGACTGAGCACAATGGAAGGAGAGCTTGAGGTGAAACACACACACATGCTGACAAAAGGAGCTTAATTTCTTACATCGGCTTTCGTATACACACAAACACATACAGGC